CCCAAGCATATATTGACACATTCAGAATGACAAAGGTGGCCCTGCAGGGAGAAAAAAAAAAGGGAAAAGAATGATTTTAGTCAGCGGAGATGGGCTGATTGAATGGACACATGAAAAAAAAGCACACTGGGTCCTGACACCATCAGCTCAGGCCCATGGCAGATCGAAGCAGGGAAGGCAGGGTAATGAGGCTGCAAGAAGATAATGCACAAGAGCATCTGATGTCCTCAGGGCAGGGGAAGATTCCTTACCCAGGACACAAGCATCGCTACCCCCAAAGGAAAAGCTTATCAAATGGCACCAAGTTAAAATTAAGAACTTCTATTCATCAAAAAATATTATGGAGGGAGGGAAAAAGCAAGCTACAGGGAAGGAGGAATCAGCTATTAATCATGAACATAGGCTCCTCTCAGTCTATGAGGATCCCTGTTCATCAACAGGGGAGAGACAACCGCCTCTAGGACAAGGGCAAGGACTTGGCCCGGCATTCAGTGAGAGCACACCCGATGCCCAATACACGGAGAAAGTGCAAAAAAACCCAAGGCAGACACCACCACACCCTCCAGAATGGCGGACGACTGAAATGGCGCTGATGCCAAGTGCTGGGGGATGAGGAGCAACAGGGAACTGTGGGGCACACGGTTCCAGCTGCCTTGGCCACGTGGACTGCAGCGGGCCATCAGGATAAACGAGGGCCCACGCTCGTCAGCATTCACCAACAGAAACGCTCGCACATGTCCTCCAGAGAGCATCACGGGAAGGTCAGGCAGCTTCATTCACAACGGCCAAAAAACGGAAGTGCCCCGCACCCATCAGCCACACCGTGGGTAAATGACAGTGGTGGGCTCCCAGCACGGCACATACACACTGGACACGTGAGACCACACGAGAGAGCCGCTCACACAGCACTGACAGAAATAAGCCAGCACCGAAGAATGTGTTCTCCGTGGCTCCCTAGATATAAAGGTTGAACACAACTACAATGGAAGGTGGTAAAACCACAGCAAAGGCACAGGGGCCCCCAGGAACAGAAGAGCAGCCACCACATCCGGCCTGGGGACAGCTGGGTGCCAGCATCCCAGGGAAGGCTGGGTGGTGATGGGAGGCTCAGATGACTTCCTTCATCCTCCAGCGCCATTCTGTCCACAGCCTGCCCCCCACACAGGCACAGGGGCTTGAGGCCAACCCTGCGCCAGAGGCAGGTGGGACATCTGGCACATGGAGCACCATGGCGGCCACAGATAGATGCCATCACTGTCTTAACTCCTGGTTTGGGATGAGTTGTGGAACAGCATTAGAAAACCAGAGCGGGGTGGGGGACAGGGAGGGGCCGAGGGTCATCAAGTGGACAGTGGTGAGAACCCTGAGGCACGCATGGTGTGTGAAGCACGCTTCCTTAGGGGCAGCGCACCACCCTGCAGGCTCCTGGGAGCTCACTCCAGTCAGATGTGAGGGGGCATCTGAGTTAACACTGACTCTGGGGCCAGACTCCTGGGTGTGAGGCCCAAGTGCACACACACCCCAGGGAAGCTCAACCTGCCCGCCTGGCTCATCCCTTGCCAAGAGGAGATGAGACAGTGGGGAGTGTGAGGCCTAAATGAGGTCACCTAGAGGACGCTGGCTGTTTTGTGACATTCCAGCTAGAGTGAGAGCTCCCCAGGGTGGAGGCCACACTGGCTCACCTGGCACCTGGCAGGTGCTCAGACATCTGCTGAACAAAAGGGTGCAACAAGGTTACAGGATGAGATCTCGAGAAAAGTGGCCCAGGGCGGGGGAGATCACGCGGAGCCCACACGGGATGCCCCACTTAGCATGCCAAGAAAATTAGAGACTTGGGACCGATGGAGACAAGCTGGGGACATGTGGAGACACCGAGCCACAGGAGAAGAGGGCATAAAGGACTCCAGGTGGGTAAGGAAGTTACACAAATCTAATTTAAAAGAGAAGAAGTCACCCAGCTGGTGTGGCTCAGTGGTTGACTGTCGACCTATGACCCAGGAGGCAGCCACGGTTCAATTCCCAGTTAGGGCACCTGACAGGGTTGTGGGCTTGATCCTCAGTGGGGGGCGTGCAGGAGGCAGTCAATCAATGATTCTCTCATCGTTGATTTCTCTCTCCCTCTCCCTTCCTCTCTGAAATCAATATATATATATATATATATAATTTTTTTTAAATCAGCGTGAATGTGGTCTTATTAGGATGAGCTCACAGTGCCCACAGCTAAGAAGCTCAGGTCTCCGAGCGTATGGGGGGTTGCAGAGACATTTTAGTGTGGTGCAAAAGTCAGAAAGCCATCATTTTCTTATACTTTGTGAAAGATTTTTTACATTTGCTCCCCAGAGAAGGTCCTGCATTTGGACGTTTAGAGAGTCAATCACAGTCACAACTGAGCTGCCATTATAAGTCTTTGTACAGTAAAGGGAAAATATGGAAGTGAAAACCAGTCTTAATCCTCTATCAGGAACCGAGATTTGGACACAGTTCCTGGATTTGGATGCTGCGTTCCTGTAGGGAGCTGCCCTTCCTCCATATGCAGTTCCTGGGGGCTGCCAACGGATCACAGACCCTGCAGCCTCCCCCGGTGACCCCAGCAGAGCCAAGTAAAGCCACTGCCAGGAACTGGCACTTGAAAGCTGCCCAGGAGGCTCTGCGGAGGTGAGATGCCATGGTTAGGGATGGCGTGGATTATGACACTGTGGCTACCTCCCCTCCGAAAGAGGAAGCTGGTCTCCCAGGAGGGGGCTGAATAGTGGTGAGGGCTCACATGGGATTTGGAGACCCAGGTAGTGTGGGCCCCACCCAGGCAGCCCCGCTCCTTCCTTCCCACCTGTTACTTAAGCAGTGTCTGTTCTCCTGCCTAGTCCCAGCATCTGCCTGGTCCTGGGTTTGTAGGCTCAGGTGGACTTGGCACCATGCCCAAACCACCCTCAGTCCAGAGGACATGTGGAGACACTGTGCCACAGGAGAAGAGTTTCTGGACAGGAGCTCAGGGCCTGGATCTCACAGCCCGAGGAGGACCTGATACTTCAAGGTGCCGCAGGGCCCCTTGCTCAAGATCCCCAGATGGCATCTCTGTGCATGCTCCTCCAGCCTCACCAGCAACATCACCAGCTAAATATAGGCCTGGCTCCAAGTCAGCACAGCCTCTCCCCAGGAAGCCTTTCCTTAAAAAAAAAATCTTTCAATTACAATTTACTTTCATTATTGTTTTGTTTTGGTTTCACGTGTACAGCAGAGTGGCTGGACAATCAATACACTTTACAGAGTGTTCCCCTCGCGACTTCCAGGGCTTCTCAGCCTCTTCCACAGGGAGCAGCTCTGCTGCCTCCGGGAGGGAAGCCACGAGGACTCGACGTCCCTGAGGACAGTCTGGCTGCTCAAAGGTTTCTCTTAAACCTCCATCAGCGTTGAGTAGTTTTAATTTTCTTTATCAAATGTGCACATTTTCCACCATTAACATTTATAACCATGTACATAGTTATTTGTTGCAACTTTAAAGGATCCAGGAAGATCAGCCAAACAACGCAGGAGAGATAAGAATGCAGCACAGCTTCCTCTAATCTCCATCACCTCATCACTCCGTAGAGATGCAGATACTTTTTTTTTTTTTTTATTGTAGCCCTTAAATTGTGGTACCTTTCTGAGTCAGACCCCTTTGGAAACCACGCCTACAGAACCCTCACTGGCATGCATTTGCAGACGCTCCCAGCTCCCAGGAAGTTCCCCAGCACCACCTCCCCCCACCACCTCCCATCACTGACCCCTGTGATTCCCACTGTGTGATGGGAACAGGGCCTGGTACCAGAGACAGGACCTTGGAATCCAGTTTAAGGCATTGGGAAGCCTTGAGGCCTGATTCACCGCCCCCTACACACACCCCATTTCCTGCCTGTTTGCAGCTCTCCCTCCCCAGCCCCATCACTTCATCCCCGGATGTGATCCCAGTGCACTCAGAGTTCAGGTCAGTTTACTGCTCACTTCCTAGAGGCCAGGGGCTGGTCTAGGCTCTGGGGACAACCCCCGCTCCCGCTCCCGCTCGTGCTCTCGGAGAGGGTGGCCATGGGGAGTGCCTGGAGGCGGTGGCGGCCAGGGTTGCTGGGTCCTTTTATCAGCGTCCCCTAGGGACGCCGCAAGTATCTAATAAATGTCAGGGGAATCAGCCAATGAAATGCGCAGGTGGATGACAGCATAGCCGGCTCGTCCCAAAAGGTGTCGGATCCTCGGAGAACACACAACGCCTATCAAAATAGCAGTCCCAACAGGGAAGCGCGAATTAATTTCCCCCCCACCGCGTCGCAAGGCTTCAGTACAAAACCGAAACCGCAGAATAAAGGGTTTCTCAGGACTCCCTCTCAAAGGCGGGCACTGGCCCCAGAGGTGCGTGGGAAATGCACCGGCAGCAACCTCTTTATCCTGCGGGTTCGGTACTCACAGGCGATCAGAAGACGGAATACCCCTTGGGAAGCTTCGATTTGCAGACTGTAGGCCTGACACTTGGCCCGAGAAAGGTGACGTTTGTGCCGGACCCATTGGGCTGGGACCCTGAGAGGGGCAGCGCAGCCCTTGCCCAGAATCACGTTCATTCTGGGCCCCTGGACACAAACGGCCGTTCTGTGCTGTAGGGCAGTGGCTTCATTTCAAACCCGTTTAGTCCTAATTTCCCACTGTCTCGTGGGGAGCGGCACCCCAGGCCCGGGCGTCGCTAAACAGCGCTCCTGCAGCTGGACCTGAATGGCGCGGCGCAGGAAAGAAGGCGCAAGAGGCACCTCCGCGAAGAAAGGCCAAGGGCCTCGCTTGGGGCCCAATTATAAACCTCCTGTGCTGTGCACCGCCAGTCCCTCCCGCCCCCTCCCGTGCCTCCCTTCCCGCACCCTGCACAGCGCCGACCGCCGGGCAGCCCGGGCGCAGGTGGCGGGCGGCGCAGGCTGGCCCGAGGCCCTGCGTCCCCGAGGGGTGTCCGTCTGCCCGGTGCCCCGGTACCGAGCCCCGCGATCGCTTACCTCGCAGACGCAGGGACTGCTGCAGCGGCGCCTCCGCGACTCGGCCGCGCGCAACCGAGTGCCTGGCGGTGCGCTCGCGCCGCCGCCGCCCCGGCCCCGCCCCGGCCCCGCCCCCACTGGTCATGCTCACGCCCCCCCAGCCTCGCTTCGCCGGCTCCACGGCC